AAAAAAAAAAAAATTTGTCTTTAGAGCTTGTGCATGGATTATAATTTTAACTGTTTTATTCTAGAATAATAATTTCTTAGGTTTTCAAAAAAAATTTTTCTTTTAAGCATTGTATTTATTTATTTACCAATTTTTTTTGTATCTCTGTGTCTTTCATTTGAAGTTTACACCTATTTGTTTTATAGCAGGCTAGGGATATTGGCTTCAATCTTATCTGCCACATGCCATGTTCAAATCTTAAGGCATATTTCTTGTTGTTTGCAATAGTTTTTGGGAATGGACCTTTTCTGACTTTATCTCCAGATATATAGTGTTTCTTATGTGATTTTGATACAATTTCCTCTCATTACACCCAGAAATATTTGTTCTAACTACATTTTTATTTGCAGATGCATCGATTAAATTAAATGTTTGTGATATAATTATTCATTTGAGCTTAATGCAAGTATTGAAAAAATTGTTTTTTGTTTGTTTGTTTGTTTTGAGACAGAGTCCCACTTTGTTGCCTGTTGCCCTAGATAGTGCAGTAGCATCCTAGCTCACAGCAACCTTTAACTCTTGGGCTCAAGCGATTCTCTTGCCTCACCCTCCAGCGTAGCTGGGACTACAGGCACCTGCCACAACGCCCAGCTACTTTTAGAGACAAGGTCTTGCTCTGGCTCAGGGTGGTCTCGAACTCCTGAGCCTAGGCATGAGCCATCTCACCCGCCCAAAAAAATTATTATGAAGCCACACCAGTCAACGCTAGAATTTAACCTGAGTTATGAAATCCAGACATTAATTAGTTGGCATGTTTTCTTAACAGAATTATTTGGTCGAGGCTGCCTTACCAAGTTTCAGTTATAAATAAATGTTGTTATACTGGTACTATCTCATTTAGCACCTGTTCCCTGTTAGTATTTTTCTAGTCTGATGGTCTTTAGTTTCTCTTAGTTTTACCATGCCTAATTCCTCTAGGTTTATCTAACCTGTTTTTTAAGGTTGCCAGATAATCTGAGATTATATTATCAATACCGTATCATTAGCTGGATGCATTTAACAAGATTGGTATGAGTTTCCCAGAAATTCTGGTTTGATCCTGATGCATCCTTGATATTAACATTTCTAAATGGGACACGTAGTAAAGCTAAGGGAATAATTCTATCAATGATTGATACCTAAAGGCTTTTAAGGTTAACAGCTTATGTGTCAGACCATGTCTCTCTTAGAAGCGGTCTTTTTATATAATTTATGACATTTGTGTCTATATTTCTTTCCCTGAAGCTTCATGTGAATTCAAAGGGGCATTGTTGGGGCATTAAGTGAGAGGTGATTCTCATCTGTGCACATTGTGTGATCTTTTTTCCTTCTCTCTTGAAATCTAACGGCTAGTTCAGTATAATTAAAGGGGAAAGAAAGAAAAGTATAATGGCAATATTTGCTTATTTGCATTTAAAGAATGATATATCAGAAAAAGCAATGCTAGGCTCGGCGCCTATAGCTCAGTGGTTAGGGTGCCAGCCACATACACTGAGCCAGGCAGGTTCTAACCCAGCCCAGGCCTGCTAAACAACATTGAGAACTGTAACCAAAAAAACCTAGCCAGGCATTGTAGCAGGCACCTGTAGTTCCCGCTACTTGGGAGGCTGAGGCAAAAAGATCACTTAAACCCAAGAGTTTGAGGTTGCTGTGCTAGATACCACAGCACTCTACCAAGGGTGACCAAGTGAGACTCTTATCTTTAAAAAAAAAAAGGAATGCTAGTCAATAGCAGGTCTAGGAGGTAACAGAACTTAGTATCAACCCAAATGTTTAATCTTGGAAGACAATTTCCAAGTATTTAAGGTAGCAACTATTATGAATTTTTGATACATAAAAACATCTTTTCATTTGCCCCGTTATCTCATACTTACTTTGTTAGGACACACCAGCATTTATTGGTTTTAACTGAAGAGTATAGTTGGAACCCAACAGTAACAATAGAGAAAGGTATTTTTTAGAGAGTAATTTAGTTTTCACTCTAATTTATGATACTGATAAGTTTATTTTAGTATTTCTGACCCAGAAAATTCTGAGGGATTCCTTATGATACACAGTCAGGCTGAGTTCAGTGTGTGCTGCCAAAAATTTTAGTGATGAGGTTATATTTTCATTTTTTCCCCCAAAGTATAGAAACCCAATTTTTGAAGCAGATTTTCAACTTTGATTATTATTGCCTGTTAATTTTTGTAATTTTTTTTTTTTTTTGAGATAGAGTTTCACTTTTGTTTCCCCAGGCTAGAGTTCCATGATGTTATAGCTCATAGCAACCTCAGGCTCTTGCGCTCGGCCTCCCAAGAAGCTGAGGCTATAAGCACCTAACACAATGCCCAGCTAGTTTTCTATTTTTATAGCGAAGATAGGGTATTACTCTTGCTTAGGCTGGTCTAAAACTCCTGATCCCAAGCAATGCATCAGCCTCAGCCTCCCAAAGTGCTAAGATTATAGCATGAGCAACCTTGCCTGGTTAATTTTTGTGATTATTGAAGTGACCAGCCCATAGTCATACAACCAGTAAATCATAAAACTTCATTTGGTGGTAGTCTTTCTTGTAAGAAATAGCAGCTTTATCAAACAAAGTGATTTTCTGTCTCATTTAACGCCTTAGGTTCTAAAATTATAGTGATGTTATCCTAAGATTATTTTCCTTGAATCTCCCCTACCCTCAAAAAGATCACATCTAACTTGAGTGCCTAATATCCAGTCTCAGTGTTTGGTGTGATCATCAAGCTTGACTTAAACAGCCCAACAGAGACAAATTATAAGTAGATGTAATATTCTTATCCTAGTTGTTGAATGTTGGACCACGGAGATCTCAACCTGGCCAAAGAAGAGAACCCAGAAAGATCATCACAGTTTCTGTAAAAGAAGATGTACACCTGAAAAAAGCAGAGAATGCCTGGAAGCCGAGCCAAAAACGAGACAGCCAGGCTGAAGATCCTGAGAACATTAAAACCCAGGTAAAAATAGAAACATATCTTAAGATTGTTTTTGGAATTATAATGATATATTAAAAAATTGATTTAACTTGTTTTGACTTATTGATATAGGTAGACATAGCAATTTCGGACTTTTTATATTTGTTTTTCTATTGAAAACATACTCTAAAAGCCATCATGGGTGCTAGACAGCGTAATATGTTGTCTTGAAATAGCTGTCCGTGTGCTTTATGAGAATAACCACTCATGTTCCAAGTATTTATATGTCATAGACTTTATCATGTGGGCTAAACTTAATTAATTTAATAAGTTAAAATGTATTTTTAGATTCTCAGTAATTGACTGTCCTGTGATAATCTAATTACTATATTGCTTTCTGTCTCCTTGTCAGGCCTTTATTTCTAATAATCTAGAATTTAGAAACCCATTTTTTTTAAGAGCTTTTTGGAATAAAGTTTAATTCTTTGCATCCTTTTGTGCACATTCTGCTGTCAGAACTTCTAAGGTAAATTGGATGAAGTCCTTTAATCCATTCAAAAATAATTTTTGTGTGTCAAATTTTATCCTTTATTTAGCTTTTCCTTACTCATAGTGCCAGTTCCTATGCTTGGGTTACTGCTAATCCAAGCAAATGCTTAACATTTGAATGTTTTTGCTTCTAGGCACCAAACCTGGAATCTTTTCTTAAAATTGACACCTGTACCAGAGCTAGGCATCACAGATCACATATCAAGTTTTTGGTGTCAGATTTCTTATATATCTTTCTTATCACCATGAGGAGTTCAGTGTAACAGTTGAAAGTTCCAGCTCTGGAGGCAGAGTATCAGCTCTATTAGGCAGGTTCTTAATCTGAACTATAAAATGAAGGTATAATAATAACTACCTCATAGATAGTAGATCCCTTGTGATTTTCTATGTAGAAAATTATATCTATGTAGAGAGAGTTTTATTTTTTCCTTTCCAATCTTTACACATCTTTTCTTTGTTGTAATGATTAGGATGTCTAGTATGATATCTAATAGAAATAGTTAAAATAGATGTTTTTGTTTTGATTTCAAAATTAGGGGAAAGCATTTAGCCTTCCACCATAAAGTAGGGGTGTGAATGACCTTTTCCTAGTTGAGGAAGGTTCTTTCTACTCCTAATTTGTTCAGTGTTTTACAACATTACTTTAAAAGACTTCTGCCTAACTAGTCAAGCATAGTGGTGGACACCTATAGTCCCAGTTACTCAGGAGGCTGAGTTAAGAGGATTGCTCAGGCCCAAAGAGTTTGAGGTTGCTGTGAGCTTTGAAGGCTCTGCATTCTACTATGGGTGCCAGAGTGTGAGACTATATCTCAAAAAAAGAAAAAAATAAAAATAGTCTAAGTATGGTGGCTCAAACCTGCTGCAAGTCGTGATGCCTCAGCACTCAACCCCAGATGAGTGAGCCTCTGCCTTGGAAATAAATAGACTTCTGCCTAGTTCTGTATCAAAATTTATGTTACACCATAATTTAGATAAATTCCTTGTCATACGTTGATGTTATTTACTTACTATAAGGTGTGAGAAGTAAGTAATTACAGATTCAGAGAACATATTGTTCATTTTAAAGCTTTTGATATACATTGCCAAATTGCCCTTAGAAATGTACAGATGGGCTCGGGATCTGTAGCACATTGGTTATGGTGCTGATCACATACACCGGGGCTGGCAGGTTCGAACCTGGCCCAGGCCAGCTAAACAACGACAATTACAACAAAAAAAATAGCTGAGCGTTGTCACGGGTACCTGTAGTCCTAGCTACTTGGGAGACTGAGGCAAGAGAATCTCTTAAGCCCGAGAGTTAGAGATGGCTGTGAGCTGTGACACCATGGCGCTCTATCAAGGGCAACATAATGAGACTCTGTCTCCAAAAAAAAAAAATGAAAGAAAGAAATGTACAGATGATGCTCCCACCAATGAAGTGTGAATATACCCTGTTCCTAGAATTTCTATGAGTAGTGAAAAAAAGTATTGTAACTTTGGACTGTTTTTTAAAATAAATGAATTTAATTATTTCTGTGACTAGCTCACAGCTTTTGTTAATAATTTGAAAAGTTGAACTTAGAAATTATTAAGAAATCAATCCTTAACAGAAAGCACTGTGTTGTCATAGCTACTTTAATGCTCTTTTCATTTCTGTGGCCCTTCTAGGAACTTTTTAGAAAAGTTCGAAGTATCTTAAATAAATTGACACCACAGATGTTCAACCAGCTGATGAAGCAAGTGTCAGGACTTACTGTTGACACAGAGGAGAGGCTGAAAGGAGTCATTGACCTGGTCTTTGAGAAGGCTATTGACGAACCCAGTTTCTCTGTGGCTTACGCAAACATGTGTCGATGTCTAGTAACGGTAAGAAGAGAGGAAGGAGTAAAACCAGAAATCTTCAAGAGGTATATTCTCCCCTCACTACACATTCTTCCCAGAATTGTTATTGGGGCAACGTAAAGGGGAGAATATATTTTTAGCACTTATTGATATAATATCCTCATTTTACAAAGAGAATCTTCTTTACGCACCGCTGGAGAGGAATGTGCAGACTAGACTAAAATGGGCATGAGATGGTCTCATCCAGTGTGAGGAAGATTGAGTAAGGTTTAAATTAGTAATTTAAAATTACTGTCATGGACAGCCATTTTTTTCTCTAGGGTGTGTGTTATAGAAATAAAGCAAATGCTTATTTTCATATTTAATTAAATTTCATATCTAAATTTCAAATTTCTAACCTTTCTGGAAATGAAAGGACAGTTTTCATATGGTCCAAAAGATTTCAAATTGACAATTTTATCTCATCATAAACTGTTAGATTTCTCTCTCTTACATTGTGTGTAGCCATTTAATCTCCACTACCTGTCAAATCTAAGGCAAGACAGAGTGGGAGACAAGAGAACTTCTGATTAGTGTCTATTACCCTGCTCTATTCTGCAATCACAGAACTGCTATGTACCTACCATCTATGCTCTCTCTTGCTGTTACTGTTGCTTGCCAAGGTACTTGTGTCAGAAGTATATGTCCTTTAACATTTGAGCTTCTTTTAATTATCACAACTCATTGTCGTCATGCCTCGATTTTTAGAAACAAACCATGAAAGTGCAAAATTCTATCATTCTTCCTAGATTTTTGATATCCATTGCAAAGGTGGGTAAGTCTTTTGGGGCATGGAAAAGTTACATCTTCTGTCTTAAAGGAACTCAAGATATGTCTTGAAAAAAATAGGATTTCTAAGAAAAAAATCACTTATAAGGTATTTTGTAATATAGCAGTGTGGTGATGTTTCAGTCGATGGTTTAGATAAAAAAAACATGTTGGAGGAAGAAGAAATTATGATAAGGGAATGATAAAACTTTGATAAAGCAAATAATGTTTGAGTTGGACCAAGGATGACAGGTAGTACAAGTATAGAGAAGAAAGATCATATAAGGTACACTCAAGTGTCATGAACCAGCTTCAACCCACCAGTGCAGCATGCTTGCAGAAGAGTGTACAGATAATTAGTGTACCACTCCCTGTATATCAGAGTAAACACACCTTACACCCTGGTGTACTCTTCCTTAAAAGTAATCACTTCTTTGACTTCTAACACCAAAGCTGTTTTAACTTCTGAGATACTGAGAGTCTGAAATAAAATGGTGGTGATGAGAACAGAATCATAGGTTCCTAATCCAAACCAAATACAAACCTCAAACAATTGTAGGAGTAATGAACATCTAAGTATGAAAAGTGAAATTTTAGAAGAAAGTCCAAGAATTGGAAAAGATTTCATAGCAAGATTCAGAACACAAGAAAAATATTAAATGGTTGCTGAGTGTGGTGGCTCACACCTGTAACCCTAGCACTCTGGGAGGCTGAGGTGGGTGGATTGCTTTTGCTCCCGAGTTCGAGCCCAACCTGAGGAAGATTAAGACCCTGTCTCTACGAAAAATGAAAAACTGGGGCAAGAGGCTCGCTTGAGCCCGAGAGTTTGAGATTGCTATAAGCTATGAGGCACTCTACCAAAGGTGACAAAGTGAGAATCTGTCTCAAAAAGAAAAAAAAATGTACAGTGTTTGGTACAGCAGAAGATAGGATTAATAAATAAATTTAAAGATAAAACCACAGCTTGGGAGAATCTATTTGGAGTGCATGCAACTTGACAAAAATATTAGAATCCAGAATTAAGGAAGAAGCAGCAGCAAGTCATTGTTAGAGACGTGATAAATCAAAAAAAAGATAAATCATGATCCCATAGAATTCACTCTCTCAAGATTGAAAAAAATAAAACCATTTTAAATGTTCACAAATACGAGTGCAACCACTTTAGACAATAAATAATAGTGTTGAAGATACTCATATACTATTCCACAGAGATTTTACATATTGGTGTATACCTCAGAGAAATTCCCAGATTTGCAAAAGGAATCATATATAAGAGTATTTATTTTTATATTGGTTTAAATATGAATAATAGCAAACAATTCAAATAGGCTGCCTAAATAGGCCAATAAAAGTATACTGTATTTTTTTTTGATTAATGGATTTGAATTATAAATAATATATAGCAACAATTAAAATTAATGAAGTAGGAGCAGCGTACAGTGGTCATGCCTGTAAACCAATCTAGTTAAGAAGCTGAGGCAGGAAGATCCCTTGAGACCAGGAAGTCAAGACCAGCCTGGGCAACACAGTCAGATCTGATCTCTAAAATAAAAATAAAAAGCAATTAGCCAGAGATGGTAGAGTGTGTCTGCAATCTTAGCTGTTTAGGAGGCTTGCTTTCACTCAGGCATTTAAAGCACCACTTCTCTCCTGCCTGGGGAAACACAGCGAGACCCTCATGTCTTTAAAATAAAATAAAATGATGAAGTAGTACTAATTGTACTATCATGGGTCAACCTCATATATACAAGAAAAAATTATTAACTAAATACATAATAAAATGCAAATTGGAAATAGTAGACATTAAATTTAAGGAAGAGAAGAAAGTAAGATTATGTAAAAGTATGCATGAGTAATTATTAGTGCTTCTTCTAATGACAAATTAGGTAATTCAGACCATCCTTCCATGGAGAACAATTAGAAAAACTGGTCACAACATTTTTAAAAATGTTGAAGGCATCTGTTCCACAGGAGAGATCAGTAAGCCCAATACCAAAAACACAGAAAGGCTTTACTCTTTCCCAGTCTCTATCCTGCAGTGCTCCTCCTCTTCCCTTCCTCCACAGATACGCCCTTGCAGGCACCCTGCGTACTTTAAGGGCCAGATAGAGTTATATCTGGCCCCTCACCCACTGGCCTTTTATGCTTGTTTTCTATAATTTCAGTCTCTTAAATAAGTTTTTTGTTGCAGGGGTTGTTGGCAGATCTTAAAGGCATTAGAGAGCTAAGCACTAAAGAGTCACTAAAGCTAAAATTCTGGAAAAAGTAGAAATCCAAAGAAGAGAGTGAGACGTTTGATAACGTTCCACCCTCTGGAAGAGGCAGCTAAAAGACTTGAACAAGTCATTTTTTGTAGGCTTGCTGGGCCAGGGATGATAGAAATTGAAACTAAGGCCCACATAAAGGAATGACAGAAGCTCTAATAAATCCTCCTATATTTTAGGTTGAGATCACAAAGAACTGAATGCTTGGAGTAAAGGTGAACCAGAAATTGACCTCCTCTCATAAGGACTGTAGCTTTACATCACATTATCTCAATCCTTGAGTTCGGATTATAGTTCTTTGAGATTATTAATGCCCCGATAGGCACCTTACAAGGTGCAAGCAAAAATTTGAGATTTTTTGTAGTAGTGTTCAGGTTATTTCTGTGGACAATTTTTCAAATAAAATATTCAACACACAACTAGAAATATTCAAGTCTACCAATGTCTCATAGGGGCTTCAGATGTGGACTTTATCAGGCATAGATTTTAAATGATTGTAATTACTATGTTCAAGGCAATAAAGATGAGATTATAAATTCTACTGATTTAGAAAGTATATGAAAAAATCAAATAGAAATTCTAGAACTGAATTTTATAATAAAATTAAGAATTTAGTGGATGGATTTAATAGCAGATTTGACACACCTAAAGAGAAGAATTATAAATGAGAATATAGGACTTACATACAGAATGAAGCATGGAGAAACCAAGAGATGAAAAATACAAAAAGGATGGTGAGAGGTGACAAAGATTCTGTAAATAGATCTAACTTTGCTCTAGTTGGAGCCTTACTTAATAAGAGAGGTAATAGAATTTTAAGAAGCAATAACTAAAGAGAACACCTGAGAAATTTTTATAATTTCTGACATATTAATAAGATTTTTTTTTTTTTTACAAACCCCGCAAGTGAAAATGAAAGAAAATTTTTAGGCTAGTCATAGTAAAGCTACTAACAACAAACAATTAAAAAATAGAAAAATAGGGGCAGCAACTGTGGCTCAGTGGGTAGGACGCCAGCCCCATATACTTATTTCAAACCCAGCCCCGGCCAAACTGCGACAAAAAAATAGCTAGGTGATGTGATGGGTGCCTGTAGTCCCAGCTACTCGGAGGCTGAGCCAAGAGAATAGCGTAAGCCCGGAAGTCGGAAATTGCTGTAAGCTGTGTGACGCCACTGTACTCTACTGAGGACGATAAAGTGAGACTCTGTCTCTACAAAAAAAAAAAAAAAAGAAGAAGAAGAAAGAAAAGTAGCCAGAGAAGGGAAAGCTAATATAAGAAAAAACCAATAATTTGCCCAAAAGTTTCTTAATCAGAACATAAAAATCATTATGTAGAAAGGAAAAGATTGGTAAATTAAAGTACATTAAAATTAGGAAAATTTTTTTTGTCAAAGGTTGTTTATAGAGTAAAACTGCAAACCTAGGCTTGGTGCCCGTAGCACAGTGGTTACTGCGCCAGCCACATACACTGAGGCTGGCAGAATCGAACCTGGCCCAGGCCAACTAAATAACAATCGCAACTGCAACAAAAAAAGCTAGGCATTGTGGCAGGTACCTGTTGTCCCTTGGGAGGCTGAGGCAAGAGAATCACGTAAGCCCAAGAGTTTGAGGTTGCTGGGAGCTGTGACACCACGGCACTCTACCAAGGGCGACACAATGACACTGTGTCTAAAAAAAAAAGCAAGTCTAATAGTGAAGATTATAATCGCAGCACAAAAATCCAGTGAAGGATTTAATCAGATAATTAAAACAAAACCCTACAGATTAGTAAGAAAGTAACTCAGTTTTTTATTTTTATTTATTTTGAGACAGGGTCTCACTCTGTTGCCCTGCCTGGAGTGCTGTGACATCAGCTAAGCTCTCAGCAGCTTCAACATGTGAGCTAAAGCAATCCTTTTATCTCAGCCTCCCAAGTAGCTGGGACTACAGGCACCTGCCACAATGCCCAGCT